ACAACAATTAACTACATTAAACTACCAAAAACACAACCCCCCAGCACTGACTTGTTGAACACACCCCTGCTGACTGATATGCAGGTCTTACAACGTTTTAAGTCATACTTTATTAAATTTATAATTATTTTAAAGTAAACGTGTCTCCTGAGAAAACAGGACATTGGTTCACATCAGGAAACCAAAGCTTCCTGTCGGCTTCCTGTCTTCAGCTTCACGCTCCAAATTCTTTAACTCCTTCAGTTCATCTTCTGTTGTCACGCTCTGCAGCGTTCTCTGCCCCAAGGCATGCTGGGAAGGCATTTAACCCACGGCTGTTTAATCCTTGCTCCCTGAGCTCGCAGCTGTGAAATATTTAGACTCCGTGTGATATTTGCAGCCGCCGTGTGGATACGAGGAAGGACCAGATTCAGATTTGGTACGAAGTGCACCCGAGAGCCGGGTTCGTTTGTCAGACATCACAATCTGAGTGAATCTGTGTCCGGAGGTTCGAGCGCAGGAAACTCAAGTTGCTTCGCTTTCTGCTGAGCTGCTCCAGGAACAAACAGACGTAGAACATGAACATGCTCCTGTTAGATTATTCACTACGGACCTTCATTAGGTCCACCTGTTCAAGCAGCCAATCGCAGGACAGCAACTCAACACCTCTGAAAACAACTCGCTTTATTTTTGCAGCCGTCTAACATCATCCACCTGAAGAGGATCGTGCTCTTCCATCAACTTTAGCGCGTCACCAACAAATGTTCTTTCAAGGCGACCGGCTCGGCGCCGTGATGTGTGCTCTTACTTTTATTGGAGTTTTGAGTTACCATGGCGACGCCATTCTTCTCATTGAAAACACTGGCAGAACTCTTCACAGCCTCTGACAGTGAGGTCACACGACCTGGACACTGATTAACTTTGGAGCCATTTTGGATCAAGATGGCCGCCGAAGCTCATTTAAAATGGATATAACTCGGAGGTTTTTAAAGTTATTCACCTGAAATTTGGTGTGTTTGTAGCTGAAAGCAATGCCCAATACATAATTAATTCAAATAAAAAAATCAAGATGACCACCAAAGCTAAATTTAAATGGCTTTAAGAAAGATATAGAGCTGAAACCTGGCGTGGTTGTAGCTGAGAGTTCTGCCCAACAACACAAAGTACTGTCAAATCAAAGTTTTAAAATGGCCACAAAGTGACAGTCCCCGTCGAAGTTTCTCCAGGAACTTTCTAGTTTATTGTTTCAGACTTAGATCTGATGGTAAATAAAAGGAGTAGCGACGACTTAACAGTTTTTACAAGCTGGATAGAAGACGACGGACCAGAGAAAGTTGTTTGTAGGAGAGTGGGGGATGCGTCACATTATACAAGCAGGGCGCTGTATAACACCCGACCTTGATTTGAGACCTTGACCTTGGAGCGGGGAGATTAAAAGTGTACGTGACGCTCGGGATGATGCAGATGAGCATCAGGTTTCACAAAATTATTTTGAACGGAAGACGTTGCGGCTCGTACAAGAGAAAAGTTAAAGAGACGAGGACGACGCCACAATGCGTCCGTCTTTCTACAGGTGTATAATAAATAAATAAATTAAATCCAGTTCATTTCTATAGATATCACAACAGAAGTCGTCTCAGGGACTGAACAGAAATATTAAAAATAACAATTTAACTTTATTTATCTGAGGAGCAGCTTTGAGTTTAACTCCATCACTGAACTCTCATCTTGAACAAGCGTGAAGGCGACAGTGGAAAGAAACACTCCCTCGTGATGAAGAAACCTTCAGCAGAACCAGGATCAGGACAAGAGGACCGTCTGCTTCGACCGGCTGGTCGGATGCATGCTTTGTTTTTTAAATAAAATTAAAAATAAAACTAACAAGCATGCATGTTTCGATCGCACCGACGGGTCACTGGTTCTGACCGTTGTAGGCAGAAGAGGCACCGAGACCAGCACGAAGTTTTGGATCAGGGATATGTTGCAAATGAACTCAGACGACGTTACGAACACTTTTAAGACAAAGACGCAGATCTGAGGGGTAGACTTTAGTAAAGCTGCGGATTCAAAGAGCCACGACCCGTTCAGGACGGTGGCAGACGACTTCCTGAAGTTCAACGCGAGCGTCAGAACAGGAAGAACGGACTTTGAACTGAGGCTTTGAGTAGTTCAGGAATCTACCGGTACTTTCACAAAACCATCTCTGGGGTTTGAAGAACATCATCTCGTAGGCGACAGCTGAGTGAATGAAAACGCCTCGTTGATGTCGGTGTGGTGCAGTGGCTGGAGATGATACAAAAGGAACCGTGGGTCTGATACCCACTTGTTCCGCCGGCCGCTCCACACCCTCACAGCAGATGGGCTCCATCAGAAGACCACGCTGGGTGTCGCTCCCGTCAGCTGAGAGCAGGAAACTGGGGCTACACCAACGCTGGACAATAAGAAACTGGAAAACAAACATGTTCTCGTCTGATGAGACTTGATCCACTGGACCCCCAGGGTCTCCAGTCAGCAGAACTCAATCCAGTCCAGAACCTTTGGGATGAACCTCAGGACATTCACATCATGGACGTGCAGCTGACACACCGGCAGCGATTGTTTGATGCTCACATCCACAAAACAAAATCAACGAGAAATCTCCATCTTCTCCCAAAGTCGGGTCGCTGAGGTCCAGGGGAGGAAGCCCAGGTCCTCCCTCTCCAGTTCCTCCTGGAAGACCCCAAAGAGTTCCCATACCAGAGAGGATATAATCCCTCAGATGAGTCCTGGGTCTCCAGTGGGACCTGGAAAACCTCCAAAGGGAGGCGTCCTGATCAGATGAACCTCCTCAGCCGACTCCTCTCCTTGTAGAGGAGCAGCGACTCTACTCCGAGCTCCCCCTGGATGACGGAGCTCCTCACCCTCTCTCTAAAGCTAGAGGGAGCTCATTTCAGCTGCTTGGATCCAGGATCTGGTTCTTTGGGTCCTGATCCAAACCTTGTGAGCGCAGGTGAGGGCTGGAACACAGACAGTAAATCCAGAGCGTTGCCTTTGGACTCATCTTCACCACAACTGACCGAAGCAACGTCCTCGATGGTCGGATGGAGCGGGAGATGGATTTCTGAGGGACGTTATTTCTAAACCACAAAGAATAAAGACGGTTCTGAAGGGGGTCCAGTCTGGTACCAGAGAGGTGGACCAAACGGAGAGTGGTGGTGACTCGAGTCGTTTCACAAAAGCAGTGACACAAAACACCTGAGCAGGCTAACAGCTGTTTAAGATGGCCGCCACAGCTGAGCGCGACGCCTTCAGGGTCTGACCAGAACAAATCTCAGTCCAGACCTCCGGCATGAACGATGGCGGCCGACCTTGTAGTCTGCCGAGCTTCACTTCACCAGCTCAGAGCTTCTGCGTCTCTGTCAGAACTCATCTAACTACAACAGCTGCGTTCAACGAAAGGAATGTCTCTAAAAATGGTTCTGATTGGACCGACCCGCCTCGCTCTCAGTCCACAGCTCAGCTCTGAGGTCACGTTCAGTCTCACACTCTGTGAGCTAAACAATTACGCTCAAAAATGACTTAACGTCCTTTCAGCTATTTTTAACAAAGTGTATTAATGTTCAGAAGTAAAAGCCACAGGTGTGTTAGCAAAATATCTCATCGGCAACCCAACGCAGTTCAAGATGGCCACCACAGCTAATACAGATTAGCTCAATTTCACAGAAAATAATCTTCATCTACAAAAAATAATTCCACAGAAAAAAAAAAACATTTTTCAGTTCCTGCAAACATTTTTACTTCTTTTGTCATCTTAAGCTACTTTTAGCTGATTTTAACTTTCATATACTGCTTTATTAATTTAACTTTTATTAGTTATGCAATATTTAGCTTGTAATTATGTTTTTAATCGTTTTATTTTTTTAGCAACCGATCTGCTATTTTTAACTTAAGCTTCTGTTTTGGTGCAGTTTAGGAAATTTTAGCTCAATTTACTGTTTTGCTACTTTAATATTTTAGCTATAATTGAGCTCATTTTAGTTTTAACTGTTGCTACATTTAGCTTTATTCACTGTTATTTCATTTTAACTAGTTTTTGCAAATTTTAACTTAATTTACTATTTAGTTCATTTTAGCTTTCAGCTAGAGTTGAGCACATTTTAGCTGTTAGCAATGGTTTGACACATTTGGCTTTGCTCATTTGTGGCTTTTAGCTAGTGTTGCTACATTTGAGTTTTAACTATAGTTCTACTAATTAAAGTTAATTTACTGTTTTTGCTACATTTAGCTTCTTGCTATAGTTTAGTTAAGCTCGGCTTTTAGCTATAGTTTAGCCAATTTTAGTTTTAAGCAACAGTTTTACTACATTAGTATTATACATGGATTTAATTTAAACTTTCAGCTACTAATGAGCAAAGTAATTGTTAGCTACACGTTTGCTACATTTACCTTAATCTAGTGTTTTGATAATTTGAGCTTTTAGCTATAGTTCATCACATTTTAGTTTTTAGACAACCTTCAGCGAAAATTAGCTTTTAGCTACTGTTCATTTAAATTTTTAGCTAAAGTGTTGTCACATCTGAGTTTTAGCAACAGTTTAACAAACGTTTTCCTGATGTACGGTTTTGCATTTTAGCATTTAGCTACAGTTTTACTAATTTAGGCTTTAGCTAAAGTTCAGCTCATTTTAGTTTTTAGCTATGTTGTTGCTACATTTAACTTTATCCACTGTTTGTCTAATTTGAACTTGAGCATGAGTAATTTTAGCTTGTAGCTACTATTTTACAAAGTTGAACTTTAGCAGCTGATGAGTTCACTTTAGCCTTTAGCTACTGTATTGCTACATTTAGCTTTAGTTGTGCTTTAGCTTTAACAGATTCAGTCATCTTCAGGGAAGCTGTTCGGCTGTGTTTTCACAGAAAAAACTGACTCTGCTCTCAGGAACAGACTGCAGGAGCCCACAGAGCTATAAAACCAGAGTCTGACTTTTTCCTTCCTGCTCTCAGTATTTTCCCCGTCCGGGGTGTGTTTGTTTCGCCCTCCAGGCCGTCCTGAACGAGAACATCACCGTCCTGCAGCAGGACGTGCAGCAGCTGCAGCGGAGGGAGGCCAACCTCACCGAGCTGCTGGGCCTGCAGGAAGGTAAACACCGTAGGAAAAACTCCATCACCGCCTTGAAAGGAGCGAGAGCTGCCAGCTGCAGTCCCCTCCCACGTTACCATGACGACCAGCGAGTCCGAGCAAACAAACACGCCACTGGATGGTTTGTGTTTTGCAGGGAGATCCGTCTGTAATCATGTAGACCTAAATATAAACGGGGTAATAAAAACCAGGCACAGAGAAATAAAGCACAAACAAAACATCATTTATGTTTTAGATTAAAGATGGAGGACAAGCCATCCCTGACCTTTGACCTCTGAAGTAGCTGTTAAACCCTCACAGTCCCATTAATCCCTGTTAATCTGCTTAAACAATTAGAAAAATAACGTCTTCAGCGTCTTTGTTTTACACGACCGGGACGCCGAGGTGATCAGACCAGAAGACCGGTCCGTTTAGGGACCTCAGGGTCTCACTGTGGTTCTGCAGCCGAAGGCGGTCCCTCCAGAATCAGAGTCAGATCATCTAAGATAAGACGGTGGTTCTTTACCTGAAAGAGGTGAAACGTCTCCTCTGGGTGGGGTTTGTCCCATCGTGGTCCATGTCCTGGTCCAGATGTTCCAACCCTCACCCTGAGCTCAGAGTCCAGCTGCTCCTTCAGCCTCCTGGGGATTACGTGTCCCTCCTGAACTGGGAGCTCACTGAGATCCTCCAGGAGGACCTGAAAGGTGCCACCAGGGACAGAAAGTCCAGGTTTTCCTCATGGACCTGTTGTCTCTGGGACCCAATCGCAGATATGTGGTTTAACATTAAGGATGGGGAGAAACGGTACTGGACTCAGGACTGACCTCAGGTCTGTCCCCGCAGGACCGGGTCAGGGTCAGAACTGAGGTCAGGTCCGTCCCCGCGGGACCGGGTCAGGACTGATCTCAGGTCCGTCCCCGCAGGACCAGGTCAGTACTGATCTCAGGTCCGTCCCCGCAGGACCAGGTCAGGACTGATCTCAGGTCCGTCCCCGCAGGACCAGGTCAGGACTGATCTCAGGTCCGTCCCAGCAGGACCGGGTCAGGACTGATCTCAGGTCCGTCCCAGCAGGACCGGGTCAGGACTGTGGAATGAGCGTCTCCCTGTGATGAGGTCAACGTTAGCGTTGTGCTAACAGCTCAGAGGGAGCGGCCTCACACCACCGTGTCACATTTTATCTTCTTTCAAGTTGAGATGAAAACAAAACATTTTACTTTGATGTTTCCACAAAACATCAAAACAATCGGAGAAATAAATATGAGACGTTTGTGTGCCAATTAAAAATCAGAAGTGACGTTCTTTGTTAAGTATTAAAAGGTTGACTAAAACCTATAGGTAGCAAAAGGCTAACTATAAGCTAAACGTAACAAAAGGCTAACTAA